TTTAGCAAATGCATCACTTGATATTGCATTCCATGATACATATTACGTGGTTGCTCATTTTCATTATGTATTATCTTTAGGTGCTGTATTTGCATTATTCAGTGCATGATATTTTTGAATACCTAAAATAACTGGTTTAAATTATAATCTGTTACAAGGTAAAGTACATTTCTTTATCTTATTTATTGGTGTTAATCTTACATTCTTTCCACAACATTTCTTAGGTTTACAAGGTATGCCAAGAAGAATTAGTGATTACCCTGATGCTTTTGCTGGATGAAATTTAATAAGTAGTTTTGGTTCTATTATAAGTGTAGTTGCTACTGTATTATTTTTACACATAGTTTATACACAATTAGTTGAAGGTGAAGCTACTTCAAGATTCCCTTGATTAGTACCTGAATTTTATTCTGATTTATTCCAAACATTATTTAGTAGAAATTATAATTCTTTAGAGTGAACTTTAAATAGTCCACCTAAACCTCACGCATTTGTTAGTTTACCAATTCAAAGTAGAATTATTTAATTTAGATTTAGAGGCACTTCATCATTTATTTGATGTCTTTAAAAGTATTTTCTTGGATTCAGTTGGTCATTTTATTGATGTCTTTAAAAGTATTTTTTTTTTGATTTGGGTGGTTATTTTACATTTTGTATTTTATTTCCTATAACTTTAATAGATTTAATTCCTTTAGTACTTTTTATGAAGGATGCGCGTACCACAAATTTATTCGGTAATATTTATACATATGGCTATGATCAAGGACTAATAAGACATAGAGATACATATATTTTAGTAGGTCAACGGATACAAGCACAAACACAGCGTCAAATAACAACTTTAAGACAATTAGGTCTGACCTTTGGTAATGAGGGGAATAAAAGTTATAACAATGTTACTATGAAATATTTTTATGAAATAAAATATATTCATTTAAATAGACAACCTGGTAGTACAAGAATTAGTCATATTTTAATTAATATAATTAGCGTATGCTCTCTGAACGTACCGACCGAATACAGAGTTGAGAATACGAACAGATAAAGTTCTTGTAATATTAGTTGCTTTACAAATATGATTAAAAAAAAAGGAATATGTTGCATTATGGTTGTGCCTTGTGATTGCAGTCCACTAAGTAGGGGTTCGAATCCTCCTTATTCCTAAACATATCTTAAAAAAGATGTTTAATTTTTAGTTTATTATATTCTTATTGTTATATGTACATAAAACATAATTTTGCCGCAACTAGTTCCATTTTTTTTTGTTAATCAAGTTACATATAATTTTCTACTTTTAGTATTAATAATCTATTTATTTTCAAAATACATTTTACCAAGATTTGTACGTTTATTTAAAACACGTGTATTTTTAAAAACACTTGAATCAAATAAAAATACAACAGTTTAAAATGGTAAAAAATATAAATAAACATGAGTACAATAAAAATAAAAATAAAAATAAATATTTTAATTAAGCAAAAATTTAAAGATAGAAAAAATAAATATAAAATTATTTATTTTTTAAATAATTATTTAAAAACACTTACAACAAAAAAAAAAGAATTAATTATATAAATGTTGACATATTTAAACCAAAGTCCATTAGACCAATTCACAATAAGAAATTTGTTTAGTATAAAAGCAGATTTACTGGGAAACATACAATTATCTTTAACCAATATAGGATTATATTTAATAATAACAACTATAATAATATTTATGTTATATATTCTAGCAACAAATTATAATATAGTAACACCAAACAATTGATCTATATCGATAGAATCTATATATGCAACTGTGTTTAGTATAGTAGTTAATCAAATAAATGCGAAAAAAGGTCAAATGTTCTTTCCTTTTATTTCTGCATTATTTATTTATATATTAATAAATAATTTAGTGGGTATGGTACCTTATAGTTTTGCACCTACATCACATTTTATTTTAACATTTTCTATAAGTTTTACTGTAGTTATAGGAGCCACAATCTTGGGATTCCAAATACATTCATTAAAATTTTTCTCACTTTTAGTACCATCAGGTTGTCCTTTAGGATTATTACCATTATTAGTCTTAATAGAATTTATTTCATATTTATCGAGAAATGTCTCTTTAGGTTTAAGATTAGGAGCTAATATTTTAAGTGGTCATATGCTATTAAACATTTTAGCAGGTTTTACATATAATATAATGAAAAAAGGTATAATATATTTCTTTTTAGGATTAGTGCCATTACTATTTATTTTAGCTTTTTCAGGATTAGAAATAGGTATTGCATTTATTCAAGCTCAAGTATTTGTAGTATTATCTTCATCATATATAAAAGATAGTTTAGAATTACATTAAAAAAAAAAGAATAATAAAAAAAATAAAAATATAAAGATATAATAAGGTTAAATGGCGTATATATTACTATATAAAATATAAGATAGAAAAGTTAGAGCTACTAAAATATAAATTAAAATATAAATAATAAATGTATAAACGTTTTTTTTAATAGAAAATAAATATTTAAAAAATAAATAACGAGCATAACTATATAAAATAGCAGTATTTAGGTATTTGTATAACTAAACAAGAAGTAGCTTAAATAAAACCTATAAAAGAAAGATAATATATCTCTAGTTATAACCTAGGAAGAATATTGAGTTTGATGATGGCTCTGAATGAACGCTATCCAAATGCTTGACACATGCTAATCGAACGTCTAATCTAATATAAATTTAATAAAAATTAAAACTATATTAAATGTGAAGTGGTGTACAGGTGAGTAAAAGATATTCTAGCTACCTTAAAGTAAGGAAGTAAAAATCCCTTATACATCAAGTAGGGCATTGAAAAGATTAATAAATTCGCTTTAAGATGCTAAATATCCCGGAGGAGTAATAGAAAAAATCTAGCTCAAGATCCGGCAGTCGGGACTGAGAGGTCGATCGACCACACTGGGTCTGAAAAAAACCCAGGGCATAATTGTACAGCAGTGGGGGATATTGGTCAATAGTCAAATGGCTGAACCAGCAACTTGGAAGAACGAAAAATGATTAAGTCATATAAAGTTCTAGATAAAATAAAGAGTATGACGATTTTTTATCTATAAGTCTTGACCAAATTACGTGCCAGCAGTCGCGGTAATACGTAAAAGACTAGTGTTATTCATCTTTAATCGGTATAAAGGGTACCTAGACAGAATGCCAAGCCATAAAAGGAACTAGTATTCTAGAGTTTTATGTGGGAATATACGAATTACCAGAGAAGAGTTCAAATTTTATTATACTGGTAGGACGGGTAACGGCAAAGGCTGTATTCTAAGTAAAAACTGACGTTGAGGGACGAAGCCTTGGGCAGCGATAAGGATTAGATACCCTAGTAGTCCTTGGAGACAATTATGAGTGCCATAGGCTAGAATAATTTAGTTTATAAATGAAAGTGTAAGCACTCCACCTCATGACTAAGGCGGAAATGCACAAATTGAAATCATTAGACCGTTTCTGAAATCAGTAGTGAAGTATGTTATTTAATTCGATGATCCGCGAATAACCTTACCACGTTTTGAATATTATTAAGAATATTACAAGTGCTGCACGGCTGTCTTCAGTTAATGTCGTGAGATTTTGGTTAATTCCTTTAATTAACGAAAACCCTTGCTTTATTTGTTATTAAAGTATTTTTCTACAAAGGGAAAAAGTAATAGGGACCAAGACAAGTCATCATGGCCTTAATAACGTGGGCTATCGACGTGCCACATATACCTCTACAAAGGGATGCAATATTGAAAAATGGAGCTAATCCCAGAAAATTGGATATAACTAATCGTGGATTGTAGTCTGAAATTCGACTACATGAATATGGAATTACTAGTAATCGTGAATCACCACGTCACGGTGAATTTTACCTCAGTTGGGTACTAACCACTCGTCAGGCGCTGAAAGATGTGTGCGCAATAAGTTTGATTATATATCTATTCCTTTTTTACTTAATTAGTTGTAATTTTTTAGGTATATAATTTTCGTATGCGTGACTTTAATTGGTGTTAAGTCGAAATATGGTTCGTGTAATGGAAATTGCACGGGATGTATTATCCTTAAAAATTAAATATATATTTATATTTCGTAGACGTAAGTCTACACTAAACTCAATGGTTTTATGTTGGTTCGAATCCAACAGGGATTTATTTTTTCACATTCTAATTTAGATTAATATATTTTTGTTTTATTTTTAATATTAAATTTTACACTTTTTTATAACCAAAATTTTATTTTGTTTCATAAAGTTTTTTATTTTAAATGAGATATATAATCAAAAATATAAGGCTTCTATTTATAATTTAGTAGTTTTGTATTGATTGATATAAAACAAGGATTTATTTTTTCCTACTTTAATTTAGATATCTTTTTATTTTTCTTTGAATATTTATTATTTTTTTGATACTTTTAATGGGTTTTTTACTATATATTTAGATATTATTATTATTTTATCTATATTATCTGGTATATTTATAATAATTAGTAAAAATCCTATAGTTTCTGTTTTACATTTAATAATGTTATTTTCTTCTGTTTCTTGCTATTTAATTTTTTTAGGTATTAAATTTATTGGTTTATCTTATTTATTAGTTTATGTTGGAGCTGTATCAATATTATTTTTATTTATTTTAATGTTAATAAATATTAGAGTTTCAGAACTAATCAGTAATACCAATAATAATATACCTTTAGCTATTTTAGCTATTTTAGCTATTTTTATTCCATATAATAATTTATCTACTGAAACAAAAACTAATTTTAACTTTGATAATTTTAAAATATTTTTTATTTCATCTAATAATTGAGACAGTAATTTAGTAGATGTTACTGATATTACTAGTATTGGAAATGTTATGTATACTAATTATTCTATATGATTAATTATTACCTCTATAATTTTATTATTAGCCATGGTTGGTTCAATAGTCATAACTATTAAGCAAAAATATTAATAACTATAAAATAATATTATTTATAAGGGCTTTAGTTTAAGGGTAAAACATACGACTTTTAATCGTATTCATGGGGGTTCAAATCCCTTAGGCCTTAAAATGATGCATCTTTCTTTCAAAAAAAGAAAAGATGCATTTTACTGTAAAAAAAAAGTTCCTCTTTTGCTAAGATAAAAATATGCTTTTTACTGTAAAAAAAAAGTTCCTCTTTTGCTAAGATAAAAATATGCTTTTTACTGTAAAAGGAGAGTTCCTTTATTGGTAAGAAGGGTTGAGCTGTAAACTCAATAGTAATATGCTTTTAAGAGTTCGAATCTCTTGTCTCCTATTTCTTACTAGCTCAAAGGTAGAGCATTATACTTCTAATATAATAATCTAAGTTCAAATCTTGGGTAAGTTTAAGCCAGGATAGTTTAATTGGTTAGAACTTTAATTTCATGCATTAACGATGAGAATTCAAGTTTCTCTTCTGGCTTCTTAAAAATACACGGGCTAGAGCCTGGCTGGTTTGGCGCCTCATTTGGGTTGAGGATCTTCTATGTTCGAATCATGGTGGCCCGAACCTTAATTAATATATATATATATATATAATATTAATTAACAGGACTCATAGGTAATAAATAAACCAGTCGCTTTTTAAACAAAAAGTGCAAATTTGAGTCTTGCTTACATTTAATTTTTTTCATATTCATTTAATAATATTAAACCGGGTTTAGGTTAATGGTAGACTCGTCGCCTTCCAAGCGAACTGTGTCAGTTCAAATCTGACTATCCGGATAATTATGGTAATTTAAGCTATATAAGAATTAGTAATCTTAATTGGTAAAGTGTTTCCTTGTCGAGGAAAATGATGCCGGATCGAGACCGGTCTAATTCGTATTTAAAAGGAAAAGTTGCTATTGGTAGGGTAAGATATTTGCTAAATATTGTGTTATACACTTGGGTGTTCGAATCATCCCTTTTCCGTATAAATGCTTATTTTAATAGCTATGTTAGTCATTTTAAGAGTATAGTTTAATTGGCAAAATAAGAAGCTTCAAACTTCAAGTTTTCAGTTCAAGTCTGAGTGCTCTTGATTATTATATATAATTTTATAATAAATTGGTTTTTTAGCTTAATTGGTAAAGCGTATTCTTGATAAGAATAGGTTCGATGTTCAAGTCATTGAAGAATCATAGTTATTTAATTATTGTTAATTAAACAAGGGAATTGGCTGAGCGGTTTAAAGCGGTAAGCTTGAAACTTATTTGATTTAATAAATCACATCCGTTCAAATCGGATATTCTCTGTTAAAAAAAAAAATATGTTACTAATTAGACTAAATTAGATTTTATTTTAGTGTAAAATATCTGTAGTAAAATTTTTTTTTAATTATATTTTTATGTTATTATTATCTTTGGTTTTAATACCTCTTTTAGGTATATTTTTAATTTTTACATATTCTTCTTATGGTTTACATGAAAACACAAGAGTATTAAAAATATTGGGACTTACTGTAACAATAATAGATTTAATTATATCTTTAATAATTTGATTATTATTTGACAATAGTAGTAAACATTTTCAATTTGTACAAGAACATTATATTATAGGATATTATGATTTTTATTTAGGTATAGATGGTTTATCTATATATTTTATATTATTAACAACATTTATAATGCCAATATCAATAATATCTAACTGAAAATCTATAGATAATAAAATAAAATATTTTTTAATAATTATTTTATTATTAGAAACATTACTATTAATGATATTTTTAGTATTAGATATATTATTATTTTATATCTTTTTTGAAAGTATTTTAGCTCCTTTATTTATATTGATAGGTTTATTTGGTTCAAGTGCAAGAATAAGAGCAAGTTTTTATTTTTTCTTATATACATTTTTAGGTTCATTATTTATGTTATTATCAATTATAACAATGCAATCTTTAATAGGTTGTACAGATTTTAATGTTTTATCAAAAACAAATTTTGTATATTTAACACAATTATTTATGTTTATTGGAATATTTATAGCTTTTGCTGTTAAAACACCCACCATATATTTAAATAGTTGATTGTTAAAAGCTCATGTTGAATCACCCTTGTCTGGTAGTATAATTCTAGCCGCTATAGTTTTAAAATTAAGTTTGTATGGTATATTTAGATTGATTTTACCTTTAGTACCTAAAGCTTTTTTATATTATACATATATTGTATTCCTTATAGGTATATTAACTATAATATATGCTAGTTTAAGTACACTTAGAACTATAGATGTTAAAGAATTAATAGCTTATTCATCTGTTTCTCATGCAGCTGTTTATCTAGCTGGTGTATTTAGTAATACTATACAAGGTATACAAGGTGGTATATCTTTAGGTTTAGCTCATGGTTTTGTATCTTCTGGTTTATTTATTTCTGCTGGTGGTGTATTATATGATAGATCTGGTACTAGATTAATTACTTATTATAGAGGTATTGCACAAATAATGCCTATATTTTCTATATTTTTTTTTATTTTATCTTTAGGTAATTGTGGTGCACCACTAACCTTAAATTTTGTTGGTGAATTCTTGTCTTTATATGGAATTTTTGAAAGATTACCTATTGCTGGAATTTTAGCCTCATCTTCTATTGTATTTTCTGCAGCTTATACTATTTTTATGTTTAATAGAATAGCTTTTGCTGGCTCTATAAATTTTAAATATTGATTAGAATATTTACCTGATTTGAATAGAAGAGAATTTTTTATGTTATTAGTTTTAGTTTTATTTACTATTATACTAGGTATATATCCTTCTATTATTTTAGATGGTTTAAATTACTATAGTTATAATTTACTATATAGTGTTGATTTTTCCTTCCGTTAATAAATAAATTATTTGTATTAATATCGGCTTTCCTTTTATTATATATAACTAAAAATAAAATAATAAATTATATACTTAAATTCTAATAAGAGTTTTTATTATGATAAGATTTTGACGTATTTATCTAGAAGTAATTTTCAGGCCCATCCTTATCATCTAGTTTCTCCTAGTCCTTGACCACTTAATACTAGTATATCTCTATTAACTGTTGCATTTAGTGCAGTTTTAGCTTTCCAAAGTTTTAGTTTCGGTATTTATAATTTAATTGTTGCTTTAATAACATTGATATTATCAATGTCTTTATGATTTAGAGATGTAATATCAGAAGGGACTTATTTAGGTAATCATACTTTAGCTGTGCAAAAGGGATTAAATATGGGTGTAGCATTATTTATTGTATCAGAAGCTTTATTTTTTTTAGCTATATTCTGAGCTTTTTTTCATAGTGCATTATCTCCAACTATAGAATTAGGTGCAAAATGACCACCTATGGGTATTGATTCTATTAATCCTTTTGAATTGCCTTTATTAAACACAATTATTTTATTATCTTCTGGTGTAACTATAACCTATTCACATCATTCTTTAATACAAGGTAACAGAAGTGGAGCTTTATATGGTGCTATGTATACAATTATTTTAGCTG